AATTTTTTAACCATAATTCAGCTGTGTTTTATGACTCAAAATAGAAAAAGGATTGTGCCCTGAGGGTGTATTGCAAAGTAGGACTCTTCCCAAGTCCATTCAATTTCAGACGTATGCTCCCTCTCCCCTTTGTTGCACACAGAATGTTAGGCCAAGAGTGAAGTGGATATATTTGGTTTCATCTCATTCCTTGCTTGACATTTTTCTGTAAAGCAAAAAACACCACGCTCTATGACATTTCTCAGAAGAGAGCCACGACTGAAATACACACCGCCACATTTTCTGGAGGAAGTTTCCACAAAATTAGCCTGTTGGATGTAACCACAAAAAGGAATTAAATATAGATATTTTACATGCTACACTTGCCCTTCCCCATCAGTGCCTGCCACACCGCCTGCCTGTGCAAGGATTATTTGCAGCATGAGGTTTCCAACATTGATGGAATTTATGATGTGTTTTAAAATACACTGCTAATCTGAAAAGTGTGTAAGTGAAAATGGCACCTTCTGAGTCATCAAATATACCTTTTGTATATTTAATGTCACGCATGCCATGTTAGTGACAAAACAAAGATTTTACTAGTTTTTAGTGCCACTGACTCTGTTGCATCGATAAAGCTGTAAGAGAGTGAGCGGGATTCCATTTCTTCCTGTGTATTAAATAAGGGCCCGCATCTATAGTTTATACCTCTCCTGTGCAAATCCAGGAGCAACAGTTAGGTTATGCAGATGTCACTGAGGCATAATTTCATTACAGTAGGGTTGCATACGAGTCACTAAGGGCCTAAATGGGCTTTCATTACTGGTATTCATTTGAGGGGGGAATTAACTCAGCTTTTCTTTGAAATACCAAGGTGAGTTTGCACAGCTGGCAAAACGATGTTTTGCCTCCAATCTGAGCACATGGAATAGTGACATTAATTCAAGTAATACATATGGAAGCCCATTGTATTATTTTTACTGAATCACTTTTCAAAGTAGAAACATGCTTTATGTAAAAGAGGCAGCAGTGCAGTGCCAGAGATGTTGCCCTGAGACCTTTGTGTAGATGAAAAAGTGAAGATTTGGTAGAGGAGCTAGCCTCTCCCCTGTTCCACGGTTTGTTAAATTGCATAGCAAGTGATTTAGCATTCTTATTCACAAACCACTGATAGCCTTCTCAATGTTGCATGAGACTATTTCTGACCACAGAAGCTTACAGAAGACGAATGTACCATCTCTTGCTAAATACAGTAGCAGTGCCACATTCAAACTTGCACAAATGACAGAGCTCTGAAAAGTTCTTTAATAAACCCCGCTTGGGCAGGAAAGGATGCAAATTTCAAAGGCCTTCTATCCCCCTGACAGGAAGACAAATCTGAAGAAATCTGGGATGTATGCATAAAAATGAAACTACCTCAGTGAACATCAGGCTATTATATGTTTTGATTAAAAACCGACTAACCAACCAGCCTTTCATCTATGATCATGCAACCCCTTTTTGATAAGCAGTTGGCAAGACACCTGCCAAGTCAAGTGTCAGTAA